ACGCAAATAATGAAAAAGACATATACAAAATAAGATTCTACTGACCAATTTCTGGTCAGATGACTATGTTTACTAGATGAGCAAAGTGAATTGAAAATCAACTTGATACCTATGAGATTTTCGATGGGATTGGATAAAGAGTCTTCTCAGAAACACTAGTTGTTAATATCAAATGATTAACTGTATAGTTAGGTGAAGATTACTAGGAACAAATCACTGAATATAATTTTTCAAAAGTTCTTGGTTTGCTTCCTAGATTTTCCAGGCAAACAATAAGATGGCAAACAGGTTTATTCACAAAAATCCCATGTAGAAGCGACAAATAATAACATTTCATGGAAAGTTCTTTTGGACAGTAAAAAAACACTGATTCATTAACTCATGTGGTGAATCGTGAAAGTATTCTCAGAAAACATAATGGAAGTTGAATTTCGGACTTTCAAAGTTAATTTTATTGACAAACACCACACAATAAGTTTTATTAAAAGAAGAAAGAAACTTCTCAAGTGTCATTCAAAATTCATGAATGCAGGAAATAAGACATTACTTAAAAGGATTTACTCAGCGGTTATTTCCTTGAGATACTACAGAATTCATCTTGACTTGTGATTCCTAGATGAATATTTACGACCACATTCTCTTGTGAGGCACGCTGAATTAAGCTGATTCTTGAGAACATTGCGTGACTCATAAGCGACCATTTCCGCTCACGGCTAATTAATTTCTTGTGACATGCATTTGACCGTAATAACATACAACTTGGGATTATTATACATGTATTGATCAAAGAAAATCTTTTTTATTGATGTCTTCTATTTTTATCTTCACATTGCATGCAGTCTTTATTGATTAAATCAGAATGTATCCTGTTACCGAAACGACTCCATCGCTTCTAGTTATATTATATTAACACTTTTAATTGATTTCTATTTTTTTATTCTCAGTGACCTTCAACTAACGACTCTGACATACCAAAACCTTCTTTGTTATTTTACCATTGTTGACTCAGTTACTTGAGTCATTGTAAAACTCCATTTTTTCACAGTTCACATCATGGATCGATGTTAGTTGGACAGCTAATAAAAGCTGAGAAACATTGAAATACTGTTTCGTTTTATTACGTTTACTGGTGAACATTGAACATCCACGACACAACCGGGTACTGAACCCAGTATGTTCAGTCTCACGGCGAACGCTTGACTTCCAGTTCAGTGAGTCCACATTCAATGGTTTGCTCGTTTAACCTCGATCAATTCAATTCGCGTTATTTGTGACAGATATCTGTTTCACACCTAACGTGGTTGAACTCAACGAAGCATGGGTTCGCATAAGTACCAGGTTCGGTCCCGTTGGGGCTGTGAATTGGCACTGTTACGTAGCCCTTCACAAAGGCAAGCAACTGCCTAGTTCTTTTTGTTGACCCATGTGTAACTTTAAAAAAACCACGACAATCTCCATAAACCTCCACATTAAAACTAACTTATTAGCCAATCTATTTAATCTATTTAGTGTGAAACTGTGCTCCCTAAATCATACTTTCCTCTACTCACATTTACATAAGAAACAAAATATTCGGTACACTCCATACTTTCATTCAAATATGATAGTAAGTTTTTGGGAAATTATTAGAAACTGAAATATTCCTGGAGAGATTTATTACGGTAAAGTGGTACTGAATAGGTGATCGAACTTTATCACGCTACCCTTAGTAGAAGGAATACAACTTCTGATTTCCTAGAGAATACGCTATCGTTACTATTTTGTATAAATTTTGTTCTAGTTTTGTTACCTTTATTCATTATTATTTAATTCAATTTGTCATCAATATCTTCAAAATTAAATGTTCAAATAATACATTTTCTTATCATAAAACAAATTTTCCTGTTTTTGACTAAATTTATTACTATAATCATTTTTATAAATTATTTTTCTGAATGATCTGGTGTTTTCCAAACATTAAAACAAAAATTTTTCAATTTAAAATGAAATGAACAATCAGATTCATGTGAAAATGAACTCCAAAATGAACCATTCAATAGGGTGACATGCCATGCTTTACCATAAAGTTTATCTAAAGTTTTTTTTAGATTTTCAGCAATAGACTTGGGATTATCCGTTCCATATTCTTCTAATAATGTTCTCGCTTCATTGCTTACATTAATTTGTTGCGGTAATGGCATATCACCAGCAATGTATTCAACATCTGGACCAAGTTTGAAAAGTGCTGATTGTTGATGAATTGTATTTCTTCGTTTAATTTCACTAGGAAAATAAGTGATGAACAAATGAAATTTACATTGATTAAGACAACAAAATGGATTATTGATTCACATTAAATGCTTTTCATTCAGATTAGCAAATAGTCAAGGTGAGGAAATCAATATCCAAAAATATGCATCAATATTTTTTTAATTTTCATATTACGAGGATCAATGCCTATTGAATATCTGTAAAGACGTTGTATAAATTGAAAACATTTACCTGATGGAAAGGTAAAGTATTAAAGAATGGTGACTTAAAATTCCGACTATTTACTAACAGTGGATATTATGCGGAATATAAATCTCTACTATGAATCTAAACAGCAATTTTGATACACATTTCAATTAGGATTAATAATTTATCTGAATAAATCATTTTTCAATTCATATACATTTGTCGTTAGGCGAATAACTCTTTTTTGTTATTCATTTATTCAAATTGTTAATATGTGGCATAGTTATCGTTAAAATAACTTGAAAATCAAGCTCTGGAAACATTCTAAAACATTTTTGATTCACTTGGACTAAATAACGGCGGTCGTTTATTTTACTCATCCATTATTTCAACTTGACTTAAACTATCCGTATAATCAAATATTTCGTTTGTAACTTATATTGAAATCTAGGATTCACTTTCGTCCTACATGGAGCTCGTCATTCGAATGTAGCAGTATCCCAATTTTCATGATCATACTAAAACTCGAGTACAGTACGTGTCATTTCAAGTGCTGAACATGTTATCCAATGATCTGTATAGTTCATAAAGTAATTAATTTGTTAAACAAGCATCAATGTATTGGTAAGGATTTGTAGTTGAATGCTGTTTATATACAGAAGCTCATCCATCCCGTCCCTGAATATCAATCACACCAAATTGTAAACTCTTACCAATATTCATAGAATGAGTCACATCAGACAGAAACATAGCAGCATAAACACTCTTATGCTTCTGATTAAGCACAAGAGGTGCAAAGAAAAAGGATGACTAAATGAGTAGTTAAACTGTTTACAGTTAAGTTATCCTGTAAATACGAGAGTAAACAGCATTATTCATACTCTGCCTAATTCTTATTCTTTCATACATTTCACAATTAATACAAATGAATTATAATCCCATTTGCTTTTGGAAAGCAGTAATATTTCTCAGTGTATTCTTAAAATAAGGCTAAAAGAACAATGATCATATGATTGCTATTTAAAAAGTACATTGAATATGGACTACCAATGAGAAATATCTTTAAAATTGATAAATGTTAATATTTTCTATAACTATTATAACGCAAGATTCTATTAATTATATGAGATAATCATTAAATAATTAAATTTGAGAATTATTTAACACAACTTACAATACTTCTTTTGCAATACCAAGAACATTTAGAAATTTTTTAAGTGTAATATGTTTAGTTCCTTCTTCCGAGAATAAATCTAACCATCTCTAAATGAATAAAATTTAAAAAAAAAAAAGAGAATAATAAATTTTAATAGAGAGAATTATTAGATGAGAACACTTTATGATTTGTTTTAGTTTAAAGCTAAAAAAACCAGAATGAATTAATAAGACGAATAAACTACCAAGTTGTATAAAAAAAAAATAAAATTAATTCAATTAGACATATTTTTAATTTTGAAAGTGTATCAGGTTTTCAACTACTTAAAGTATGATAAGATGGTAAATTTAATCTATTTGAAGCACAACTCAGACTTTTAAATTCATGAAGCGGTTTCTTCGATCATTTGAACAAGTCAGAATATGATTCCTTTGGTTAAATTTACTCTGAACATGATGGATAACTACAAATGATCATTGATTCTTAGCTCTTTGATACCTTTGGATTAAATGGTTTGTAATAGAAATCTTGACAATCTTAAGTATGTATCTGCTTGGTCGTGCTGAAATATAAACATACATACGTAAAGGTAAATTCCGAAAGCAACATTATTTAGGAGAGAAGTTAAATTAAAAACCGCCGACAAAAGTAAGTGACCACTCGTGGCAGTATCATCGGACATGTTGAAAGCATTAGCTTTAATATAATATCATCATCAAACGTTTTTCTAACGATCATTCGTAGCTTCATACTTAATTACATAATCTCCGATTGAATATCTTTTTCTAATCGCCAAATACATTACTGTTTCATTTACTAAACTTTATTTATCTTCATTTCCATGATTTCGTTCAATTATCATTTTCAATTAATTTAAAACTTGATTGAAAAATACAATGATTTTCCGATCACCATTTCCCTTTGACTACAAATAATAATAAGCTGTGGTACTACTATATTCCTCAAACTTAGAATTTCCGGTATTTCTCTTTTAACTCATTCTGATAATCAAGAGTTTATCAGTATCCAATGTAAATAACTCTGAACATGTCTGACAGTGTTTAATATATCTAAAATATGTTAAACATTTATCGAACAAATGAAACAAATATCGGAGGAAATAATGATTTATAAATGACAAATACAATGATTTAATGAGCTTTTCATTGGGTTCCATAATCTACCAAGGAATCGATAAAATGTTTGAAACATTAAAAAACGATTAGTTGATTTCAATTGTGAAAGAATACCATCTCCACTAATCCCCCGTACTATTTATTATGTCATGGGAAATAATCAGTGATAAATCAGCCAAAGATGGTCTTCACCAATTTCATCCTATGCTTTATCAGTAAACCATCCAGGAATCAATCTGGAGCATAGTCATAAATGTGGACATGGTTATTACCTAGTTGAATGGTTAGTGAAGAAGAGTTCGTTTTGTTTAAATGAGTCTGAGCTGAAGTACATCAAAAGAGTCGGAACCTGTTAGCCAGGGGTTTCGATTTGATTGTTTTAACCATTAATGGAGTACCAGTAGAAATGACAACAATGAAAACATTAAAAATTTCGAAAAAACCTTAATCATTACAATTATTAAAATATGAACATTCATTCAAAATCAGTGAATTTCTATGATTAAAACTTACTGCAATCATTAATGGATCAAGGTGATTTTCTTTTGTAAATTTTTCCAACTCATCTTGAGTAATGACTCCATCATAATTTGTATCAATTTTTAAAAATATTTCAACAAAATTATCCATTTTTTTTGTTGTTGGTTATTTCAATTAAGGTACTACTACTACTACTTTTTGTACTATCTTTTATAAGATAATTTATAGAAAATTATTAAACAATAGTGATTGTATTAGAAGAACCAGTAATAGTTGCAGAATAGTGTTTATACAGAAAGAAAAAAAATGAGAAAAGTTTTAAAACAAATAATCTTATGTCTGTGTGAATATATATTTATATATACATATATACATATATGTACATTTACGCGGTCAATTAAGGTTAACGTGTTTACAATGTAATTATTACGACCAGTCGGAAATATGCATAGTACTAATTATCATATTGTATTTACATTATTGTTAATTTGGAAAAGGTTGTGATTATTTTTTGGTCTGTTGCTTACACTACAGACTTTCTACTGATAACTAGTAAGCATTAAACAGTCTTGTAATATATAAAACATTCTAGTTTTCAGTCACTACTTAATCAAAGTGAATCGATGGTAGGAATCATTAATGGCTCTGTCGCATAGAAGTAAAAAAATAAAGATAGTCAACATTTCTAAATGTTGTAAAACAAGATAAGCATTTACTACTACCAGTGAATTACTTTTGTAAAATGTGCATACTCATGTGATCAGACTTGTTGTCCTTTCATATAGTTTATTGTGAAAATAGATTTTTCCAAAACAACAATCCCATTTTCTTTATAAATTTCACTATCAAGTTTATAGAGAATATGAACAGATTATTGTGGAGTAAGATAACGAAACCTACAAGAGTTAAGCAAATGAAAGTTGTCAAGAAGTCGAAAAACAAAACTATGTTAAGCTGCTGTTATTTCAACACGTCATTTACTGGATATGTATGTGGTCTTCAGAGGGAAATGTTTGAAGAAGCCCATCAGTCGACCGAAGTGAAAAAAATAAAACTTGTTTTTATATCTCTCAGAAACTAGCAAAATCATTCAACGTATGCATACCGTATGTATCCGACATTTCAAGTTTTATTAAACGCACTAGAAAAAAAGAACTATTTGTCAAGATAAACAATATATCGAACAGTATTAGGATGATCACGAGAATCGAACTGTGAACTATGAATTTTTGACTGATTCAAAAAAGACATGACGGTATCATACAAATTAATATTTTCCGAAAATTGACGCACTCTGAGATACAGAGATTACAAATAAAGCATTCTGTTTCAACAGTAGCCGTGACCGGAAGTTTGACTAACTAGAACTATCATCTGGTTACATCGAGAAAAGGTAAGCACACAGCATCTTTTTAAATCTTGTTTACACTTAGGCCATATAATTACCTTAGAGTTTTTGGGGAGATGATTAATTACAAATGAAAGGAAAACCTATTCAGTGTTTATTAGAACGGAACGCGTTGCTGTCATCTCGTACCAAAAGACATCAGATAGACAGGATTCTGGAAATATATGATATGAAAATTTTTTTTATCGTATTAGTAATATCGTTGAGTCGTCATCAGCGAAGCCAAGGAAGAGATCTTAGAAGAGGAACAAGAAAATTTTGCCTATTTAGAGACTGTAATGCTGTATGCGTAGAAGAAACATTTTGTGGAGTTGAAGGAATTTATTCATCGAACGATGTCAAGAAGTATGACAAAAACGCAGCAATTGCACTGTTCTAAACAAGACTGACTTCGGTAAAATTAAAATATTTCAGAAGGGTTTTATTATTGATCAAGAAGAATAACCGCTGAAAGTACACATATGCAGGTCAATAGACTAACGAATAAATGTTTAGTCATATTTTTACCATCGATGACGTAAGTCTAACATTACAAGATGTTTACTAATTTATTTTTTTTAGATTTATTTACAATTAAATCTAATTCAACATAGGGCTCCAATTATTTTTAGTAAGCATGCACTTTAATAAGCTTATTATACTCATATGTACTAGTAATATTTATAATAAAGAAAACAATTATTTTCATCTCTATCCATAGTCAAAGGCATCAATGACTTGGTGAACCTTAATATTTTCAGTGGCGATAAACGCTCATTAAAAAGCATTACACGAAATGACTCATACCCCTACGATGTAGAAAATCAGAGTTTTTTTAGTGGACCAAGAATGAACTCAGATTTGCATAAACATTTATACCGTATATCTGACACTTGGGCTAATACAGTATGCGCGATGGCAGTAATGAGAAACGAAATATGGATTGGATGGATATTAGTCTATTTCATGCACACACGCACACATGTGGAGATAAACATGCAGATAAGAAGTAGGAAAGCAAAGTGAAGCGAAGATGAAGAATGAACCAATCCGCGTTTAATAAGGTGTGACAGACTGGACTGGTGATGAATAGAGTAAGTGATACATTACACGCTCAAGTAAACGTAACTGACATCATAAGCGCATTATTAACAAGGTCAAAATACGTGCGAATGATGACTTCACAATAGATTGATTGGTTTATTCAGAAGCTAGAGCAAGCCAATGTAGACTTGACATGATTTGGACGCGATTGGACAAACGCTCTTTTGATTTAACCTTGATGACTGTGATTTTGATAAATTACATGGATAAGTCAAGACCAGTTTCCTAGATGTTGTAACGTTAAAACTAACGCGATTTCAATTCTTGGGAAAATTTATACATTTATTGTCCCTTATATACTTTCTTCGATAACCCCCCAACGATCTATCATAGTTTTATGTTTTGTACTTGATGTAACGCCAAACCACTGTACTAATGACACACCCGAACGTTAGACCCTTCCGTTCAAAAATAAGAAGACGGAAGACGTTGGAGAACGCTTATTGTCAGAATCAAAAATGTACAATCAAACGTGCATATTTATACAATTATATGTCGTTTAAATATTTTGAACATTCATCATGAACATTAATCATATAGTTCATCATGGACATTGGTCAAATAGTTCATCAATCCACAATGTGCGAGGCTTTCTTCTCGATTGGCTATCCCAACACCTCCCCGGAATAAGATTTTTCTTTTTCTTTTCTTTTTTCTTTGAAGTCGTTCCATTTCCTGTTCAACTACCGGGAGAGAAGCATAAGGTACAGGAATAGCTGTTGACTTGAGAGTCAGTAGTGCTTTAGCCTTTGTACATTCGCCTAGCGCTTCCAAAAATACGTGATGATGCCTTTTCATAATGGCATTTCTCAGACTTGACTCTGAAGCGTTATTGATTCTTACTCGGCTGCAGATGTTGTTGATAGAATGGTCTGTTAATTTTAATGCATCTATGAGATCCAACCCCAATAAATCAAGGTCTGGGTTTTTAGTTAAGTATACAGTTGCACTCGTCGTTGCCTCATTTTTTGAAACAGTGCACAATATTTCCCCAACAATATTTAATTTGCCACCAGATGCGCTGTGTGCTAGTTGCTTCGTTTGGTGAACTGTAGGTCTACCAATTTTCTCCCAAGTTTTGGACTGATAAGGGTGATATCAGATGCTGTGTCAAGTTGAAGACGGATACGGTGTGAATTCATATCCAAAGTCACATACTTTCTTCTGTGGTGAATTCCTGTCTGGTTATGAGACACCAATACTCGGTTTATTGGCTTACTAGAACTGTATTTCTTGGAATCGACTTTCGTGGAGTAATGTCTGCGAGTTTTTGTCCTACATCGGGTTTCTTTGTGACCCTTTTTGTGACATTTAGTGCAAACATAATCTTTGTATGGACAAAACTTCTTGTAGTGCCAACCTCCAGATGACCAGCATGGAGGTGAGGGCTGGTTGTCTGTGCTCTTGTGATGCTTTTGTGAGCCGGACTTTTTCTTTTCACTTACGGCATGCACGTATGATGGACGGCCATTGTTTTCGACCATGGAGGTATCATGCTTCAAATTTACCAATCTCTGGCACTCTGCAGTTATTTCTTGAAGCGAGATGTTTGGGTACTGCTCAATTTTACTTAGGATTCTGGTTCTTATATCAGCATCTTCGGGAGATTGTAAGCTGCACACAAACACAAGGCACTTAAACTGACCTTCCGTCATTGATGATAATTTAAATCGTTCGCATTCACGATTTACTAAGCCGGCGTGCTTTACCCAGTCATCTTCATTTGACTTGATTATTTTGAGGCATTGATAACGAATATTAAAGAGAGATGACTGTTCAGAGAAGATTTGCGACAGCGTTTCGATTGTAGCATCAAAAGAGAAATCTCGTGGGTTCTTTGAGAGGATGAAATTACTATAACGTTCGTGTTCGATTGTGCCGAGCTTTCTCAAGAGGATTCTGACTTTGGTGGCGTCATCAAGTTTGTTGAGGTCAACCTTGAACAAATCCTCATACTTCTTGAACCAAGACTCGAAAGTCACACCAGCAAGGTCATCAAAATGGAATTCATGAATGGAATTAACTATCTAGTCTGTATGTGGATTATATGAGTCGTCGGTAAGACCTCTGTGATTCAAATTCATTTGTTCCATTAACAACTCCAACATACGTTCCTGGAACTGTTCACATCGTTTTCCTTGACGTTCCAATAAAGATTCTATCTGTTCAAGGGTAACTGACATTGTAAATTATAAGCCCCGTCGCCACTTTTATGTTTTGTACTTGATGTAACGCCAAACCACTGTACTAATGACACACCCGAACGTTAGACCTCTCCGTTCAAAAATAAGAAGACGGAAGACGTTGGAGAACGCTTATTGTCAGAATCAAAAATGTACAATCAAACGTGCGTATTTATACAATTATATGTCGTTTAAATATTTTGAACATTCATCATGAACATTAATCATATAGTTCATCATGGACATTGGTCAAATAGTTCATCATGAACATTAATCAAATACTTCATCATGAACATTAATCAAATAGTTCATCAATCCACAATGTGCGTGGCTTTCTTCTCGATTGGCTATCCCAACACATAGCGACATAGATTCATTGAGTTGATGATGGGAACATTTCAGATTTTTCTTTTTTTGAGTTGCTAGGACTTATGAGAAATTTTAATTATGTACCTCCTACTTACTACTTATTTGTT